GGAGATATCCTAAGGGGCTGGTAAGGGGGATTGGAGGTAGTGGATAGGTGTTGGATGGGAGTGGGGGCCTAGGGGGGTGGGAGGTAGTGGATAGGTGTTGGATGGGAGTGGGGGGGGGTCTTAGAGGGCTAATAAGGGGGACAGGAGATAGTGGATAGGTATTTGGGGATAGAGCTTTGGTAGGTCGGTGGGTGGATGGGTGGCTAGATGGATAGGTAAGTTGGGTAGGTGAGTGAGTGGTAGGTATAGGTTGACTAGGTAGATGGGTAGGTAGGTTAGAGGGAGGGGGGATGGATAGGTAGGTGGATAGGCTGGTCAAATAGATAGATGGAAGATGGACTGATATGTGGCTAGGTGGGTGATTGGTAGACAGATAGTTGCTGGGCAAATGGATGGGGTGAATGAGTGGGAGACAGATGGACCAGTGTGGGTGGCTGGACAAACAGGGCTAGGATGATCCTTGAGTTCCTCTTTCCTGACCTGTCCTCCATCTTCATGCCACCTGCAGCCTAGGCCACAGTGATGTTGTAACTGAACAAGGCATACTCAGTTCTTGCTGGTCTAAACACGTTCTTTTTGTTTGTCTGTTTGTTTTCCTGAGCAGTTAGGGATTTCGACTGCCCCCCTTTTCCCTGAGGACAAAAATCCTGCCCACTGCTTTGGGCTCTACTCCCTTTTGACCTTAACTTGTATCATTCTCCCCAGCTCCGTGCTCCAGACATACTGGTTTGTTCTGCCCTCGAGGGCTTTTTGAACTTTCTATTCCATCTGTCTGGAGAGTTCCCCTCCCTTCTTCCCAGTTAAGTCAGTCCCTTTCCCTATCCCTCAGGGGTCCTTCTGGGAAGCCTCGCTTGGTGCCCCAGAGCAGGGTAGACTGTAGTTCAGCCTGGCGGCACTCCAGGCATAGTCAGAGCAGGAAAGGTCTACCTATCACTTGATGGTCTTCCCTTTTGGTCAAATGCTTTAAGTGTGCAGCTCCCTGGTCTGTAGGGCTGTGCATAAAGTAGGCACCAACTACATACTCTGAGGACTTTCAGAACGGTCAGGTGAGCCGCGGGCTGGGTCAGCGGGGAAGTCAGCCTCGAGCCATAGCAGGGAGAGGTGGTCAGCCGGACTCTGATGTCATCCTCCAGGACGAAGACAAGCCCGAGGATGAGATGGCGCAAAAGCGAGCCAGCTTGCTTGAGCGGCAGCAGAGGCGGGCAGAGGAGGCCCGGCGGCGCAAACAGTGGCAGGAGGCTGAGAAGGAACAGAAACGGGAGGAGGCGGCGAGGTGAGCCTGTGGCTGGAACGAGGGGACGCTGGTCTTCGATGTTGCTGCCTCGGTGCCCCATATTCTTCTCTGCTTGGTCCCCTTCTGTTCAATCTGCAGGCTGGCTCAGGAGGAGGGCCCAGGCTTGGCCTCCGCAGCTCCCGTTGCCTCTGCTGCTCCAGTGGCCACCCTGGCTCCTGCTACCAGAGCTGTGGCCCCAGCTGAGGAGGAGGTGGGGCCCCGGCGAGGGGACTTCACGAGGCTTGAGTATGAGCGCCGGGCACAACTGAAGCTGATGGATGACCTTGATAAGGTGCTACGGCCCCGGGCCTCAGGGACCGGGGGACCAGGGCGGGGCGGGCGCAGGGCCACCCGGCCACGCTCTGGTTGCTGTGATGACTCGGCCCTGGCACGAAGCCCAGCCCGCGGCCTGCTGGGTGAGGACCCTGTGGGAAGGGCCTACTTTGTGGCTGGGAGAGGCTCCATGGTTGTGGAGCAAAGGGAGCATCTGCAGAGGTGTAGTGGTGGGACAGATGTGTGGGGGGAGCAGGACTTCCAGTGAGGTGAGGGGGCCTCCCTCCTTGGCTGAATTAGTGAGGAACTCCCTTCTCTGTAGGTATGTGGATGGGAGTGTGAAGTGTAGCCAGAGTGTTTGCAGTCTGGAGTGTATAATGCCGAGTTCAATCCCCAGCACTAGAAAAAAAAATTTCCTCGCCATATTGAGCCTGGCATGGTGGCACCCGGCTGTCATTGCGGCACTCAGGAGGCTGAAGCAGGATTTTGATGTTGATCCCAATCTGGGGTACTGAGCAGGTTTCAGGCCAGTTTAGGCTACACATTGAGATCCCGCCTCAACACACACACACACACACACACACACACGCACACACACGCACACACACGCATGCACATGCACACGCATGTACACACAGGGAAAAGTTCAGAGGAGTGTTGGTGACCCAGTTGGTAGAGTGCTTGCCTAGCATACAGGAAGCTCTGGGTTCTGTCCCCAACATAAACCAGGTGTGGAGGTATAGGCCTATAATCCCAGCACCCAGGAAGTAGACAGGAGAATCGGGAATTCAAGGTCATTTTCAGCAAATGGAGTTGGAAGCCAGCCTGGGCTACAGAGGACCCTGCCTTTTAAAAAAAAAAAAGCCAATGAAGCCAACACAAAAAATGGAGTCAGGATGCAAAAGGCCGAAAGGGTCTGGGGAAGAGCAGACCTTGGGCCCTTGGGCATTAATGGAGGTAAAGGGGCCTTAGGTAGGGCTGACTGGCCCTGTCTCTTCCTAGGCTCACGACTCAGCAAGGTCTATTCCCAATCCACACTGTCCCTGTCTACTGTGGCCAATGAGGCTCCCAATAACCTTGGTGTGAAGAGACCCACATCTCGGTGAGTCTGAGCAGACCGGGACTCAGAGCCCATCATTATATATAGACATCTCTGGAATCTAGGGTGGAATATGGATGGATTGTATAGATGGAAGGAAGCACATGTATGTACAGATAGGATCTGGGGAACCTAACAGGAGAATATGCCCCCATGTAATGTAGGTGCATCAGAGGGGCTGAGTATATGGGAGGGCGTGGCATACATGGACTTGGGGGAGTATGCAACAAACATGTACCCCTCCTCTGCAGCGTGCTGTGCTTGCCTCTCCCCTCATCTCACTGTACACTGTGGGGGCTTCCCACACTACTGACCCCACTCCCACCCATCCCGTCCCCTGTAGGGCTCCTTCTCCATCAGGCCTCATGTCTCCAAGCCGCCTGCCTGGCAGTCGAGAGCGGGACTGGGAGAACGGGAGCAATGCGTCCTCCCCAGCGTCAGTGCCTGAGTACACAGGTGAGTGCGGCTTGGATCATGAGAAGCCACAGGCTCTCCCCCTGCCCCATCCCTGCTGACTGACTGCCCTCTAGGTCCCCGGCTGTACAAAGAGCCCAGCGCCAAGTCTAACAAGTTCATCATCCACAATGCCTTGTCACACTGCTGCCTGGCAGGCAAGGTGAACGAGCCCCAGAAGAACCGAATTCTGGAGGTGAGCCCTGCACCTGCCTGGGTGTGTAGGGCTGGCGGGTGGGTCAGTGGTCCAGCCTGACCAGCTGACCGGCTTCTTAACACCATCCCTCAGGAAATCGAGAAAAGCAAGGCCAACCACTTCCTGATTCTCTTCCGGGACTCAAGCTGCCAGTTCCGGGCACTCTACACTCTTTCTGGGGAGACAGAGGAGCTGTCGAGGCTGGCAGGCTACGGGCCTCGTACTGTTACTCCAGCCATGGTCGAAGGCATCTATAAGTACAACTCAGACCGCAAACGCTTCACCCAGATCCCTGCCAAGACCATGTCTATGAGTGTGGACGCCTTCACTATCCAGGGACACCTTTGGCAAAGCAAGAAGCCCACCACCCCCAAGAAGGGTGGCGGCACCCCCAAATAGCGCCACTTTGGGCAATGCACAGGCTGGGTCTGTTGTGTTTGGGCCACCGCACTCTTGGAGGACAATGCATTATTTCTGGATCCTGTCTGGTCATGCTGTGGGGGGCTGAGCTGGGAGCTTCAGGGACTCAGGGCTCAGTTCAGTCCCCTTGTCTGTCCTCCACTTTCTTGAATAAAATAATTGAAAAGAGAAGCTGAGACATGGTGTCTCCTCCCTGAGCTGGACCGAGTTTGTGTCTCGTATTCTCTCAGCAGCTCCAGCCTGTCTTCATTGTTTTCTTGCTGGCCCTGCGGTAGCCTCTGCCAAGGTCTGTGGTGACCTTCCTGTTGACACTCCCTCCCCCGGGATGTTCTCGGCCACCTCTGAACCGACCTGGCAGGAGGTTCCAGACCAGCTAGCCTCTCCTGGGCCTTCCCTGCCCCCACCTGCTAATTTTCCTCCTCCATGTGGCTGTTATTCATCTTCCCTGGCATTTGGTGTGCAGCCAGCTTCTAACTCGATCTCCGTTTCCTCCTGCCAACCTGCCTTCATTTCTGGGCTCAGTTACAGTCTCTGAGCTTGGGATTCTGTGTTCCTTCCTCAGAGTCCTATATCCAAGGATCCAGCGGCCACTGCAGGTGCAGGGCTCAGGTGTGAGGCTCACTACAGCCTGGCTTCCCAGACACTGCCAAATCATACAGCTCACCTCCTAAGCCACCCCTGACTACCCCATGATCCAAGCCAACAGCTGTCTCCAGCTGCCCCCTGCTCACATGGCAGCCTGCGTGACCTGCTCAAAACACAAATCTGATTATGTCCCCTGATGCCCAAAGCCCCTTAATGGTTTAGAGGCACTAATGGCTTCCTAGAACTTAAGCAATAGGCCTCCACCCTCCACCAGGATGTGGCCTGTGCACAAGGCCTGGTCCTGGCCTCCAGCCAGTGATTCAAGCGCCTTACTAGTGGGCTTTCCAGGGCCTGCTGACTACATGGGGCGCTCACGGGTCTGTGAAGCCGCACAGCTGTGACTACATGGGGCGCGCTCACGGGTCTGTGAAGCCGCAGGGCTGTGACACCCACACAAGAGGGGCCGGCTGCCCCTGAGCTTGAGGCTCGAGCAGGCTTCTGACTGGGCAAGCCTGACAAGAAGCCTGGGGTGGGGCAGGGAACTGGCCCTGCAGCGTCCAGAACTGGCTCTGCAGGGTGAGGGCAGACTGTCCACCTGCCACCGCCCCACCTCCCGTCCCAGCCAATCAGGGCTCAGGACCAGGCAGCTCTAAGGTAGCATGCCCCGAGGCACCTGGGCAGCAGGAAGGAGGCTGAGACAGTGATGTACAAAGAGGGGCTGTATTACAAGGTGGTTAGGGGGAGGGACCACGGAGGACAAAGCGTGGAGGATGTCAGTCTTCCTTTAGGCTCCCGAACACAGCAGCTGGCACGCTCTGCTGCTCCAGTCGGACTTCTGTGGGAAGTGGTCACGGGTCAAGGTGGTTACTCCTGGGGGTGGGGGTGGAGAGTGGCCTACCTCTGCCCTTAACCCCGCCCCGGGCAGGCCACTGACCATTGGGCTCCAGGTCCATCTCCTCCTCATCCTCGTCCTCGCCCAGCTGGATCTCCTCGGGGTTGGCCTGCTGAGCTAGCTCTGCCAGCTCCTCCCTGGATGCATCGCTCCTGGAGTTGGTGAGGGAGGGTGGTCTCAGTGCACGCCTCCCCTACAGCCTCCCTGGAACACCCCTTCCCTAAGAAGGGCTGGCCCACGTCCCTCCTGCCCTCACCTCACAAAGAAGATCTTGCTCTGGGCCCTTGGAGGCTGGTCCCGCTCAGCCTCAGCTGCGAGCTGCTCTGCCCGCTGCTCCAGCAACTTCATGTCATCCATGCCGCTCTGCCCAGGAGCCAGGTCAGACACTGCGGGTGCAGGGTGGGGGGAGGAAAGGTCAGGGGCAGACCTCAGGCCCTCTCCAAGGCCCATCAGACCAGCCCAGGATGGAGGGTCCCAGGATTGACTCCAGATGCGGCCAGACCTAGGAGGCCTAGGCTGGGTAGTGAGTGCTCTGGGATGGGGAGGACATGGCCCCATGTGGCGTGGTCACGGTAAGGAAAAGGAGGTTCCAGCAGCTCACCGGTGCCTGTGGCACTGCCTGACACCTTGAGCATCTGTGAAGCCATGAAGTTGACCTGAGTATTGTATGTGGCCTGCACACTCCGACGTATCCTCAGCATCTCCCTGATGGTGTCCTCATTGCCGTGCCGAACCTCAAAGTCCTTCCATGTTTGCCAGAATGCCCCAGTGGTCTGTGGGGGGAGCAGGTATGCGGGTGAGCTAGGTGCCTTGAACAGATCCCCACTGCTCACCCTTACCTTCCCGAACCCAGGCCCAGCCCTACCCTGGGATCACAGATCTGGGAGCAGAAGCTGTAGATAGCTCGGGCTCGGTCGATTTCACCAAGCTTGCACTCCATGTCTGCAAACCGCAGGCACATCTCACGGGCGTGCTCATCGGACAGTACCTGCACCATGTGGTCAGGGAGAGCAGGGGTGAGGGGAGGGGGTCAGTATCCGGCTTCAGGAAGGCCTTCCTCCACCCTCTACACAGGCAGGCTTCCTGGGATCCTTCTGTCTGCCCGAATGTCAACCCCACACCAGGTCACTGGTGGCGGGTACCTCAATAGCCTTCTGGTAGATGCCACGAGTGTGGGTGACGCCATAGATCTCAGCAGCCCGCTTGATGTAGATGTTGAACATATCATACTGCTGGGCTGGCTCCACTGCCCGGGTAGCGCGGTCGTACACAGCCATAGCGTGACGGGCAAGGCCCCACTCCTCCTCCAGCTGTGCGTAAAGCAGGTACAGGGCTGCACAGGGTGAAAGTCCAGTTAGCAGTCCACAGCTCAGCCCACACCCCCCATCCCCATGTCCTCTGACAGCCCACAGATCTCTCACTCTTGGCATATTTGGGTGGGCAGCCGTCTAGTGCCTGCTCGAAGAGGTCCCGTGCGCGCTCCAGCTTGCGGCCCCCATAGCGGGCAATGAATTTGGTCAGGTAGGTGCTCCAGATGTCTGACACGTTGGGCCACTTGAACAGCGAGATGCCACGCTCATATGCCTGTCTCCAAGGAAGCCATGGAGGTATCGGTGTCCAGATGCCCTTGGCTCAGGTCTCCACAAGCCTGCCCAGGGCCCCTTCCTTGACTACCCTCCATCATGGCACATTTAAGTATGTCACCTGTCCCCCTCCACCAATGAGAGGGACCTAAGGTATGGGCACAACAGGGACTTTCTAACAGTGTGGTACTTCATGGATGAGGTAGCTCCTAACCTCTACAGACACAGGCACCCAGGGTCCTGGGAAAGGGTTCACATTCCTAGGCAGAAGGATGGGGAACGTGGATAAATGCAACTCCCCATGTATCTGCCTGTGGCCAGCACAGACACACACACAGCCATGTACCCACCCACACCCTGTCACCTGATCAGTGGCCAACGGTGCTGCACACATGGCGCCCACATTTGTTCTATTTCACCCAAGTACTCGGAGGAAGAGTCAGCACTGGCTATGGGAAAGTGCCCTATCCCATACCATTCACATGCTGAGGCCCTGGTGTCCAGTCCTTCACCATGCAAGCATTTTATTTGGAAATGAGGAAACAGACTTAGAGTGATATTGTTAGGGTAGGCCTAACCAGTCATGACTGGTGGCTTTATGAGAGATCAGAGACAGAGATGTTGTTCAGTGCTAAGGGCCCCTGCTTCGAATGCCCAAAATCTTGGGTTCCATACATACTCTGCCGAAAGGAATAAAAATGGCCCCATGACAGTTACTGCTGTCAGCGTAACACGATTCTAGAATAACCTAAAGGATTATCTAACTTGTGTTGACAGAGGCAGGAAGATCCATCCTAAATGTGTGTGTGTGTGGGGGGAGGTACCATCCATGGGCTGCGATCCTAGACTACGTACAAAGGAGAGACTGAGCCCATCACCAGCATTCATCCCTTTCTGCTCCCTGACTGCAGGTGCACCGTGCCTGGCCTGCCATGATGGAATAGAGCCTGACTGTGAGCCAGAATCAACTTTCTCCCTTGGCTTGCCTTTGTTCAACGGTTTGTCCCAAGAGCAGTAAGAATAACTAATACAAGCCACCACCCCATGGTCCTGATGTGTCTAAACACAGATGTACAAACACTGACAGCGAGAGGACACAGACAAGTGGACATCTGCAGACAACAAGGAGCCGCCTTACTGCGCCTTGGCCTGACATGCAGCCTTAGGGCATGCCTCACCTTGAAGCTCTCCTCGAAGTACTTGTGCTCCTCCAGGAACATGGCGTAGTTGATGACGATCTGCGGTGTGGCTATGCGCAGGTCCAGGATCCGGTCGTACACGGCCTTGGTTGACTGTGGGGACAGACAGGTCAGGGGATGCTCCGCTCTGGGGCTGGGAACAAGCTCTGCCTCACCTTTGCCCATGGCAGCTGACCTGGAAGGTGCCCAGACTTTCCTCCAAGTCGGCAAGCATGGACCACACCTTCAGTGACTTGTATACACGGTTCTGTACGGGCTCCGAACCATCAAAGTACTCAGCCCGACGGGCAGGCAGCGCTGTGGCTTTCTGTAGAGAGATAGTGGCAGAGGCAAGGAGACACTGAGAGGCTGTCCTGGCCCCACTACACACCCCCAGCTGGTCTTCACATCCTTACCCGCAGCAGCTTCAAGGCCTCATCATAATTCTCATGCCGGAGCTCCAACTCCCCACACTGGCACCACACGCTTGCCAGGTCATCCACTTGCTTAAAGTTCACCTTGGTGGCCTTCTCTAGGATGACACGGGCCTATGGTGATGGGCAGAGACTGATTGAGGCCCTGCCATGTGGCCACCCCCAAGTCCCATGGTAAAAAGACCTGTATGTAGATGCATGCATAAATGTAACTCACATCATCCAGCTGTCCATTATCTTCATAAAACTTGGCAAATGCAACCCACAGTGTGTGGGGCTTGCCTGTGGCCTTGAAGGGGTCCACTGTCTGCACAGCCTCTGTGTACGTGTTGATAATCTGGAACAGGAGGGTCAGACGGTGAGGGCAGGGCTGGGCTCTAAGGGGCAGGGCAAGATGGGTCTGGGGACCGTCACGCACCTCCCGGGGGCGGCCCTGATGCAGGGCCACACGCTTGTGCCACTCGTGGACATGGTGTGGGTTCTGGCGCAGCAGGACGCTGTTCAGGAGTAGGGGCCACCGGCTAATGAGCTGCTCGAAGCGGGCCAGGCGCAACTCCAGGTCCACGTCATCTGGGAGCCAAACATGTTCATGAAGCTGGGGAGGTTGGGGGTGACAGCACAGGCCTCTGTCTCTAAGCTTCTCCCTCCCTGAGGAGCCGGGCTGGCCACCCTGCACCCCATGCTTGTGCTCAATTATGGCTGTTCGAGGACACCCTGGCCCCAGCGTCCACCCAGCCTTTCTCCTTGCCAGCCTCTGTTCCACCACAGTGGCTAGGAATTCAGGCTCTCCTCCCCAGCCCACTGTCCCACATCGCACCCTCCTCCTCGCGCCCCAGTTCAGAGGCAGTCTCCATCTTTGCCGCGATCATGCTCTCCTCAAACTGGGCATAGCTGTCGAACACCTGGGTGAAGTCTCGCACAGTCATCACGGTGCGGACAGCCTCCTCATACACGTCCCGAGCCT